CCCCCAGGTAACAGGTTAGACCAGCTCCTGCTTCAGGGCATGTATACTCTCTGTTCTCCCTGCTTGGAATGTTGTTTCCCCACTTATCCACAGGGCTCACTCCCTCACACCCTGAAAGTCTTTCCCCAGCACTGACCTTCTCAGTGGAGCCTCCCTGGCTATCCCATCTGAAATTATAACTCCTCAACATTCCTACTGCATCAACTGCCACCTGACATGCCAGATATTTTGCTTGTTGCTTCCCAGCTGGTTCCCCCACTGGAATGAATGCCCCATAAGAGCTCTGCTTTTGTCTGTTTTATTCACTCCTGTTCCATATGAGAACAGTGCCTCTATAAATTGAGTAAGTACTCAGAAAGAATGTTGAATGAACGCATTAATCTGAGATGACACGGAACTCATCTGGCAAAGGATGGTGGGAGAAAGCGCTCTGGAAACGGGAGCAGCACACTAGAAGTCCCCAAGGAGGCACAAACAGGGCACACCTGATGAACTAAAGGGTGGAGGCGAGATGGAAGGGGCACGGTGAAGCAAGGCTGGAGAAGCAGGTCAGAGCAGGCAGGGCCACGTAGGCAGACTAGTGCCATTAACTCAGACCGCAGGTAACCTTAACTTGGACAGAGATGGCAGAAGCAGAGGTGAAGAAAAGGAAGCAGATTCCAGGCACATTCAGCAGATTAAAAATCAAAGATCTGGGTGACTGATCGCATACTGTATAAGTGAAAGGGCACCTTCAAGATCACTCCACCTTTTTTACCTGTAAGCTAAATGAACAACGGCACCACTCACTGAGTTCAGGGAGCGGGTGGCAAGGAGGAGGCAGGAAGGTGATATTAAGCAGTATTGGAAATAATGACTTTGAAATAACTCTGAGGCATCCAAATGGAGACTTGCAGTGGGCAGTGAAATATCCAAGGTGGCATGATCAGATCATGAAAGGTGTGGTGTGGCAAGCAAGCAACGTTGTGTAGATTTTTACCTGGTGTCAGATGGGTTAATCAAAAGGTTTTCAGTGACAAGTGACAGAATAAGATGTGTGGTTCTGAAAATTCACCCTGGCCACAGTATAAACACTTGAATAGGGGAGAGGGCTAGACTAGAAGCAGGGAGAAAAATAAGGACACACTGTAATATACCAGGTGGGCCAGGATACATGGGCAAGGGCTGCAGCAGTGGGGAAAAAAATGGGAACACATCTCACACAGCTGCTGAGGAGTTTTCTCAAACAAAACCAGATCGTGTCAGCACTGCACTTTAAGTCCCTCAGTAGCCTCCACAGTTCGTTCTCATACCCTCTCCACACTTCTCCCTTGCCACCCACACCCCCATTCAATGTCAAGTTCCCACAACTCAAGACTGTGTTCAATTGCGATGCTATTTCCTTCTACCTGGACAGGGGTCCCCAGCCTTCATGCCACAGACCAGTACCAGTCCAGGCCTGTTAGAAACTGGGCTGCACAGCAAGAGGTGAGCTTGAATGAAAAGCGCTTGAGTCATCCTGAAACCATCCCCTCAACCCATGGTCCATGGAAGAATTGTCTTCCACGAAACAGGCCCCCAGTGCCAAAAAAGGTTAGGAACCACGGGCTTAGCAAACACCTACTTGTCTTCTTAAGATTCACATGCCCCACCGTAAAAAGAAAATCAGCACTGACATCTAGGTGCTGGCCTGGTCCTCACAGAGAGCCATGTTGTTCTCCTGCTGGACATAATCTCAAAAATTATCAACACAAGATCTGGCTGCAATAGTAATGAAGTGAGACAAAACAAGACCACTTCACAATTTAGTCTCAACAGACAAAAACAAGGCCATGATGCCATCCACAAAATCCCGAACACCCCTCTCTCCTGGCTGATATGACTGACTCTGGCTCCTTTATGAATTCGTATTTACTTACTCTAGTCACACCTCCTTCTGGAAAGACTGATTGAAGTACTCAATTATAGGACTGTCCCATCTCCTGTCAGCACCCAATCTAGAGCAAATCCCTGTTTTCTTGAACTCTCCCCAAAATTATTCAACCAAAGCCCAACTCCTAAAAGTTTTTTCTCATATCATCTCACTGACAGGTCCCAGAAGTTCCCTAAGCAGTTAGTGCTCCCTCACTACAATGAGTAATTAAACCCAATCTGTTTAACTACAGGTATGTTTCTAGGGGTCTCTGCTGGTTGACACTGACAACTGTAACAGGAAAGGATAGTTAAGAGTCTTGGTGGGGAGTTAGCGAATTCCAACCTGAAGTCTTCCATTTTCTTTGTTAAGCAATACATACAGTTTCACCCATGTTACCTTGAGAATGAGGGGAGGCTGGGGCAAAGAAGTTTGAGGAAAGTGGAAAATGTCTGATTTAACTATTCTGGAAAGCAGAAAAGTGAGTTGATCAGAGAATCATACTAGAACGTTCAGTCTCTGTTAAGGGCACAAGTGAAGTTGGTTGACATGAACTCACAGTAGTTCCAAGTTCCCTGCTGTGTGATTTCTACCATCAGTAATCAAGGTAGAAAAAAAGGAGTGTTTGGTGGTAATGGACAAGAAATAAAAATTAAAATTAAAAAAAAGGGAGAGTTTGGTTCAACCAGGGTTTGGGGTTCACTAGGACTGGAGGGCAAGGGGGATAAAGTCACTACCAAGGGAACTACTGAATGACTGACTTTGAACTCTTAAGCTCAACTGAGAGGTAACAGGCTAAAGGATGTGTCTCAATGGTAGAGAAAACCATGGAGATCATGAGGAAAACTATGCCAAGGGCATAGCAGAAGTAACGGATGAAAAGAAGAGTACAAAAAAACTTTAACGAAATGCATCCACAGAGCCAACATGTCTGGTCTCCATAGCTTGGGACCTAGCCCAGAAGTTTCTGTCTGGTTCAGTGGGTCTAGAGTAGGCCCCTAGCATGTGTTTTTTAAAATGCCCCATAGGCCATGCAGCTGTGCAGTTCAGGTTGAAAAATACTGCCTTAAATTCTCTTCAGTTCCAAAGCTGAACTTCTACTACAATATTTAGATATCTATAAACACAGAGGGCACTAGAAACTGAGGCAGAGAAGAATTGAAATTATAAAAACTATCCAAGTAAGAGTCAAGGAAAGTCATGCTCTAGTCCTACTATTTCTCTGCACTTTTCTTTGTTTCTGAACTACTTTATAACTAATTTTTTTAAGTAAGCAAGTATGCAAAAAACACTTCTCACAAATATTAAGCAAACCAATATTATCAATAAATATTAAATAAACCTAACCCTAATGTGCTACAGAAAACTTTCTCTCCCATAATTTAGATGGCACTGCAGATTCTCTTAGCAAATAGCAGTCGATACAAGAAAAATTATTTCTCATTCAACAGTGCTATAGATATAGTCAATAGCAATGAAATCCGGAGAAGAAATTAAGCTGGGTATAATTCATTTAAGTTCACAGATTTCACCAAGGACTGCCTCCAAGCCTTTAATACTTATATATTTTTTTGTTTTAATTTTTTTTAATTGTTCATATACATGTCTCCATTTTCCCACCACCACTTTCCCCTACCCCACTAACCCCCACCTCCCACCCTCAATCCTTCCTCACTTTGGCTTTGTCCATGGGTCCTCTATACACATTCCTTGACTTGACCCTTCCCCTTCTTTTCCCTGTTATCTCCCTCCCTTTTCCCCTCTGGTTACTGTCAGTTTGTTTTTTCTTTCAATGTTGCTGATTATATTTTTTTAATATTTACATGTGTATTTATCTATTTATTTAATCTACCTCCACTAACATACCACATGCAGACATTGCTCTAAGTGCTTTACTAAGTATCTTTTAATCTTTACAATCACCTATGAAGTGGGTAGGATTATCATCTCCACTTCACAGGTCAGAAAACTGAGAACGGACTGATTGAGTAACTTGACCAAGTTTTTACACAGCTAGGAAATGGCAGAGCTTGAATCAGTGTGACTTTCTGGCTCCAGAGTCCAGTTTCTGCATCACTATACTTAGTCTCCAAGAACCTACAAAAAGTGCAAGCCTTACTCCCAAACTTTTGTTCTCCCCACCCTACAATCCCTACATGCTCCAGCAGCCAAGGCACCGGTTAGGTTCTTCTGATAGTTCACACTCTTCCCTCCCTATGCCTGAAAGTTCTCTTATACCATTTTTTTTTTTTTTTTAGCCTTTGTTCTGTTTAAATATCACTACATAAATTACAAACTCTAATGGAACGCTGTACTTCTCAGTGCTCAAATTGTAATTATACATTTCATAGGTAATTATTTGTCTGCTCTTTTCCAACTAGGCTGTCAGGCACCATGTCAGTCTTGTTCATTATGTGGTCCCGATCACCGAATCCCCACTGCCCTGAGCAAATGAAAAGACCTAGCACAAAATAAGCGCTCAATAATTTTTGTTCAATGAATGAATGAATAAAGCACACTCAAGTCTATGTTTTCAAGTGTGTCATATATAACTGAGGTCACAATGCCCCCCACTACATCCCTAACAGAGTAGACTCCTGTAGCAAATACAGGCAAGGACTCTGGAAAGTACTGGCTCTGCACACCAATATGATGTGGTGGTGGACGCGTATCTGCACGCCCCCGCCACTGGCCTAAGTTTCAGGTACACAGGGGGATCATGACAACCCCCAATAGAATGTAACCTATAAAAAATGGAGAACCTGCACTTATCCTAACCCATCACGACTGTAGTTAGTATGTACTTCGTGTCTGTCTTTCCATCAAGACTTTAGCCCCAGGCAGGCCAAGACCACCCGTGCCTCGTGCAGCGCCATACCCCAAGCACGGTATCCTGGGCTTGCACCGTGCCGGGGACACAACAGAAGTTAGATAACTATGAGTTACATAAATGAACCCCTGCTCTGTGCAACCACAGGTATGAGGCGAGGATAGCAGAGACTGGCGGGCGCCTGTTGGCATACAACCGTGATCCATACACAAAGGCCCGCCTCCCACCTGGGCCCCAGCACTTCGGAGACGCGGCCCCTAACCCGCGCCCCGCTGGCACCTTTTGCATATAGACGCATCTTCACAGGTGCCGCGCACGCCCTCGTCGTCAGTTTCCGTCGAGGAGGAAGGACAGGAGTTGAAAGTGGGCTTCCTCAGGCTAGTGGCCATGGGCGTAGAGGTTCCGGGGTGCTGTGTCCACCCGGGACATGGAAGAGGGGTCGACAGCCCCCGGGGGAATTAGCGCGCCCACAGCAAGGTAGGAGAAAGGGGCTGAGCTCCGCCCGGCTCAGCTGGCGCGGCTCAGGAAGGCCGCCCACGACCGCTCTCGCAGCAACCTTAGTGCTCATTGGAGTCTCTGACGAGACGCTCATTGGGTAGTTTTCTCGCCCCTCAGCCCAAGGAGGTAGTCATTGGACAACTCCTTTGGCACCGCCCACACAACCCGGAAGTCTCCGTGAGTCGGGAGGGAGAAACTGAAATTGACACAAGATGGCACCGCAATCCTTTCTGGGAATTGTAGTGTTAGGTGCGTTAGGCGCCACTGGGTTTCTTATTGCTGATCACGAGATATAACTGTGATTAACTCAGGGCAGGATCCTTGCATTGCGGGGAAGGGCACGGAATCCAGCAGGAGGAAACAAATGTTATTTTGACAGTCATTCAGGGCTCAGCCTCATTCAGCGGTTGAAGAAGTATTTATTGAGCTCCCTCTGAGCCAAGAGCTGCGCTCTGCACATATAATGGCCTTTGAGATTTCATGAAAGAAGGAATGTGTGGAAAACTCGCACAAATGGAAAACTATGTAGCAATGAAAATGAGTGAACTAGAGCTGCTAGTTGCAAGCATCAATGCATGGCTTAATTTCAGGAACATAATATTCACTGAAAGAAGGAAATACAACAGTTTTGTAAAGTTCAAACCAAGACAAATTAATGTTTAGAGAGGCATGCCTATATGGTAAAATACTGTATTTTGCAGTTTATGACACACACTTTTTTGTCCAAGTTTTTGAGGGAAAAATAAAGATGGGTGTTATACACGAGTAGTACTAATTTCTCATCTATATAAATGTTTTTAATTTTTATTTATGCTTATGCGTTAAAAGTGTAACTCTAGAAAGCAATAACAATATCCATATGCAAAATAATACCCTGGAATATGATAATCAGTTTTGTTTCTAAATATAAATAAATTAAAATTGAATTAAAAAATTGAAATGAAACGTTTTTTCCAGAAAGTTTGGGCCAAAAACGTGGATGTGCATTATACACAGGAGGGCATATGTGGCAAAATATGTTAATACTGTAGAGGAAAGTAAATAAAGGGCGGTGCAAGTATTTGTGACCATTAGTGAATGGGTAGTAGGACTTTGGAGGACAAAGAAGGAGAATGGGGAAGGAGTTTATAGACACCTCAATAATTTCTCAAGTTGGGGTGGATTCACATGTGTTTGTTTCATTATTAGGCATTTTCAAGGTGTTCATTACACATATTTTGTACTGGATTTATTATAAAGCATTTTCTAAATAAGTATGTTTGAATGTTCCATTTTATTGTCTGTCAGGAGCAGAGGACAGGTATACTCAAACTTTAAGAACTTTGGATCACATACACACACAGACAAAATAAACAACAACAAAAACCCAATGCACATGTCTGGGCCAAGATCAGATATCAAGTGTTTGCATTGTATTCAATGGAGGAACAAGAGCTCATTAATACCCAAAGTAGAAATGATAGTGTGGAAGGCTGAGGTTAGAGAGTTTTGTCAAGGAGACTAGTGATGAGCCCTGGCTGCTGAGGATCAGTGGACTGAGTGCCAGCCTGAAAACTATAAGGGGACAATGGTGTAATGACCTACACCACTTTCTTTGAGTGGTCCTCTGCCAAGAGGGTAATGCAAACCTCTGAACAAACACAATCTCCTGGCTTGGCAATGTACAAATTCCATGGTTGTAATAAATGTCAACAGCAAGTTGATAGGTGTGGATAGGGAGGATGAGGGTGATTGGAAGAAGGTGACAGATACTCTGATAAACCTGTGGTGTTTGGTGAGCAAAGGACACTTCTGTTCCTCACTGAGCCTTCAATTCAGAAAAGAGATGGTGATTCAGAGGACTTTGGTCAGTGTTTCACTCAGGGCCACTCCCAAAGGCTTCCTTCAGGCAGAGCCAGCTCATTCCATTTAAGCTCCTGGTCAAGGGGTTAGAACTTTATGACACAGCAGTGGAACCTAGAAATGGCCATCTTAGCCATCTTAGCCATTTGGAGGCTGTGAGATGTCTCCAAATATGAGACTACTGAGTAGTTGCAAACAATGTCTCATCCAGAGAGAAGTCACTACCAACTAGTCTGCACCCTCTGACAAGTCAAGAGAAACTGGAGTTTAAAACCACTGTGCATACTAATATTGGGAGCAAAAAACTGAGCATTAATGATGAAACTTCTCCTGGAGAGGTCAGAGTGGACATTTGTTGCTCTGGCTCTCTTGTATTTCTTTTTTCTATAACAACAGCTGGAGTTTATTATGGAGAACTACACTTTCCTTTTAGCCCATGTGGATAAGGTGAGGCTCCCTGCCTAATGAGTAGAACCTTACAAAGACCTGGCCAATCTCACACAAAATCACCCTAGCTACACTTCAGGGTGTGTGTGGGTGGTGGTGGTGGTAGTGGTTGTGGTGGCAGCGACCAGGTTGGTCCAATAGGCAGGAATCTCGGGAGTTAAATGGGAATTGCTAAGGCCAGAATAGCTTTCTTTTTTGCCAGACTTGAACCTGGGAGGATGTCTCTTTGGAGCTACTGAGAACCATCTTGCTACCTCATACAGTCTGAGAGTGATGTTAATGGCAAGGCTAATGGAGTCTGGAGCACTGTATGCCTACTTAGGGGTGACTGAGTTTGGAGTATGGGAACTGAGGGGAAAATCACCAGTGTCTGTGGAGCCTGGCAATTAAAAACAGCTGAATTCAGAAAAACGGAAGAACCTGTTGTATGGAGCTTGTTGCTTTCATCCTGAGCTGAGCTCAAACTAACCCTGTCTCCCGTGACCATTTAGTAGTACCTCATTCAAATCACAATCTTCCTTCTTTGCTGGTCCCATTTTCCAAGTTTCTGGTCTATGACTTCCTCACAAGCTTTTAGTACCTATAGCCTGTTGGAAAGGCTATCTTTCCTCCATTGATTTTGACTTTGTCAAAAATCAAGTGTGCATATTTGACAAGAGTATTTCTGGTTCTTTGTTCTGTTTCATTGATTTGTATCTATCCCTCTGCAGAAATTACAGTCTTGGTTTCTCTTGCTCTATAAGTTTTGAAACTGGGTAAACTGATTGCTGCCACTTTATCACTTTTTAAAAAATTTTTATTTGTTGTAATTCATTTGTCTTTCCATATAAATTTTAGAATAGTGTATATCTACAAGAATATCTTACTGGATTTTGATATGAATTGCATTAAATCCCCATATCAGTTTGGGGAGAACTGACACCTTTACTATGACGAGTCTTCCAATCCATGAACATAGTATACCTCTCCATTTATTTAGATATTTTTATCAGTGTGGTGTAGTTTTCAGCCTACAAATCCTGGCTATGTTTTGTTAGATTTATACTAAGATTTTATTTTTATTAGTGATCATAAGTATTTTTGGTGTATATGTTCATTGCGAGTATAAAGAAATACATCTGACTTTTATATGCTCATTATACATCCTGTGACATTGTTAAATTCAATTATTAGTTCTAGGAAGAACTGCTTTTTAACAACTTCCTATAGTATAAAGCCCAAAATTAAGATTCACTGTTAAGAGCTATCATGATATCTGGCAAAATCAAGGGTGCTTCAAATGGCCTACTAGAATGTTCTCCACTTCCTCTTCTTTCAGAGATAAGTTCTTCTAACCAAACAACTCTTTTTATCACATGGACCAGACACAGTGCGTGCTGATTCCCAAGTCCCAGGCTTCAGTTCCCTATCAGTCCATAGAATTATTCAAACAAGCCCATCACACCCTCCTGTGGGAACCAGGGCTCACCCCATCATCTTACTATGAAGTTTGGCCCCTACAGCCCCTGGTTGTTCATTCTGTTCCCGAGTGCAACCCCCATGTGACCCTGCCTGGTGTGTAGTGCCCTCCCCTGGGCTGTGAGTATACATGACTTATAAACTTCTGTTGATCCCATCTGTCTGGTGTCCTGTGTTCAGCTACCCTCACAAGTCTAGATGGGAATCTCTCTCTCATCAGTGGAGAGAAGAGGAGGTAACATCATAAACAATGGCTTAACCTCAACTGAGGACACCTGGTCAGCTTTAACTAACTGCTGCTTTGATAATTAACTAGTTTCATAAAGTAGCAGTTTCTTTCTGGGGTGTAACTGACAATTGCTGGCCAGCTTGGGCTATATCTCATGTTCTGTTATGTCAAATGGACATTGACATCAATTCCCATCCCAGTTACTCTTTCTCACGAACAAGATGAGAACTGTCATTAATTTATAGATTATCCCAAAGTGAGGCGCCATCAGGTGTGACTGGTGTCTGGCTCCCACCTGAGGGCAGTGACAATGCAACATCTTAATTGATGGGTTCTTGAATTCCACTTAGTGGGTGCGGGGTTAGTGTTTTGGCCCTGCATTGTGTCTAACCTGAATACTATCACAGGCTGTTTGGGAAGCTGCACTTCCAGTACAGTTCAAGGGATAACCTGTTGTTTGTGAAAAGAAAGTGATAGGGGAACTCAAGAGTTAAATATTTTAGTTTTAGTTGATAAGCTTAAGTGATTAATGCATGTGATAAAGCTGTTAAACCAAGAACTGGAGTTCGTGACCCATGTGACTCCAGGAGAAGGACAAGCAATTCAAACTTTGTGCCTCAGGGAGTCTGAAAGCAATGGAGATGGTATCTGTGTTTTTGAAAAACAGATAAAATACCAGAAAAATTGCCCCCGGACTGCAAATCTTATCAAATTAACCTTTTTCCCAAACACCTTATGTACCCTTTCTTCTCCTTATAAAAAGGTCAGCTTTAGATGAGATGTTAAGACGGTTTTTGAGGGTACACAACCTGCCATCTTCTCAGAGCACTGGCCTCTGAATAAAGTGCTCATAAAGATTCAATCCCCCTGCCTCTACTAATTGGCTCTGGTAGTGAAAGGCAGCGCAAATGCCAACTTTTCCAGTTTCATATTCTGGCAACTCTGGTGGGATACCTTCTGGACTCTTAAGTCTGGGTATTTGGCAGGGAGACCCCCATTGGCTGCCTAGACTAGGGGGACCCTGGGGTGTAGATTTGAAGACTCCCTAGCAGCTGCCAAGTG